TTTATACTAAGCTTGCTGCTGTTGTTTTTCCATCTGTACCAGGTCAGGCAATTGGTTCTCTTCCTGTCTTACCCTGACTTAGCCACAGTGATCCATGCAGTGGTCTCCTCCAGACTAGACTACTGTAACTCACTGTATGCAGGGCTACCCTTGAGGCTGACCCGGAAACTGCAACTGGTCTAGAATGCAGTAGTGCATGTTCTCACGGGAACTTCATTCAGAGCCCACATTCAGCCCTGTCCTTGACCAGAACCAGGGCTTGTTTGGCCCTGTCTCCAACCTGGTGGAATGCCCTCCTGAGTGAGGTCCAGGCCCTGCAGGACTTGATGCAGTTCTGCAGGGCCTGCAAGACAGAGATGTTTCACCAGGTCGATGGCTGAGGCAGCAACTATCTCCATCTAGGCTGGCCTCCCTTCTTTCCTTCGCCCCATTTCTGAATTGTAATTTTCTCATAACTGTGGGACGTTACTAAGTTGTGTTCTTTTATGTGCCATCTGACTAGTTATTAATATTATTGTAAAATTGTTTTAATATTTAATTTTATTGATATTGTTTTATGAACATTATTACCCACTCTAAACCCTGTTGTACAGGGGGTAGAGAGCTATAAATTCAATAAATAAATACTTCCTTCATGTTTTCTTTAGATGAAAATTTTGAAAAAGTGGTTATTAAGATTTCAAATGTGTTCGTATGTTACTCATCCTGACAAACTCAGACCATCAGGTTAAGTTTTTCACAAACGTTAGCAACCTTAGGAGTCCCTTTCTGATTAAAATATTTTTTGCAAATCCCTAAACCTTCACATCCCTTCCCCATATGCACATGCCACATCCACTGGGCAGCCCTTTGTCTCTGTGTGTGCATTGTAAATAACATGTGCCTTATGAAGGCTTCTGTCTTCAGAACAAGCTGTGGAGTCTTGTGAGCAAAAATGTTACTTTATGAGCTACTGGCATTAAAGTTATGAGGGAGCGATTTGGCTACGGCATAAATTAATTTGCTCCTGGAGCCATCCATTCTGAGATAAGACAAAAATGTGTGAGCTGGAGGCTAAAAAACTGTGAGCTAGCTCACACTAACTCAGCTTAGAGGGAACACTGGTGAGAACCATATAATCTTAAACAGCAAATGTGTTGGGGGGGGTTTATAATAGCTGTACATGGGCTACCAAGTTGGATGTCAGAGGGTACTTTGGTGTAGTGGTTAAGTGCGCGGACTCTAATCTGGGAGAACCGGGTTGGATTCCCCACTCCTCCACTTACATCTGGCTGGATGACCTTGGGCAAGCCGTAGCTCTGATAAGAGCTGTTCTTGAAAAATAGCAGTTTCTGTTAGGCGCTCTCTCAGCCCCCCCTACCTCACAGGGTGTCTGTTGTGGGGAGGGGAAGGGAAAGGAGTTTGTAAGCCACTCTGAGACACCTTTGGGTAGTGAAGGGTGGGGTATAAATCCAATCTCTTCTTCTTCTTTATGTTTTAGGGTCACAATTCAGAATGGCCCAAACCCAAGCTCTAAGCCAGGGGTGGCCAAACTGCGGCTTGGGAGCCACAAGCAGCTCTTTCACACATATTGTGCGGCTCCTGGCAGGGCTGCTGGGGAACCGAAGGGGAGGCATGCCTTCCCGATCCGTCTTCCCTTCCCCAGCCAGTGCTCCCCTCCCTGGGTAGGCTTGAGGTGGGGGGGAGCAGAGAAAGAAAGCAACTTTAAATTTAAATGTGTTCTCAAAGGCCCCCCCCTCCCGGCTTGGAGAAGGCATTTGTCTCTTTAAATCCCTTTTCCAAGCCAGCCAGCTTGGGGGCATGAGGGGCACATTTAAAGTTTAGGTTGCTTTCTTTCCACCTCTCCCCCCTCCCCCATTTGTTTGCTTTCCTTCCACCTTTCTTTGTGTCTCTTCCTTCCTTTTTCTTTCTCGCTTCTTTCCTCCCTCTTTTATTTTTGGCAGTCTCATTTAATGTTAATAAAAAGCAAATTTGCATATTTTCCAATAAAAACGTGTGTAATATTTATTTATGTCTTGTGGCTCTCAAACATCTGATGTTTATTCTATGTGGCTCTTACATTAAACAAGTTTGGCCACCCCTGCTCTAAGCAGTCTTACCTCTGATTGGAAAGGAGTTTACATTGGAAACATCAATAAAAGTCCTTACTAGTTAATCATAGAGACCAGTGGAACAGGGGTGAGAAGGATTAGAAAGACACATTCTAAGGATGGATTAAATTAAAGTATGAATGATTAAACTAGTGGAGTTTATTCCTCTGTTTAGAATAAGAATATCAATAATTAAAAAGACCTTTGTATTGAGCTACATCAGATAACCAGATCTCATTGGACACTCAAGTGATCAGTTGCATTCATGTTTGCCTCAGCAGACAATAGACACTTCTTCCTCCCTGTTATTAATTCATACTATTCGCAATTGTCACAGATGATAAATATTTTAAAATAGCAGGGACATAAAGTAAAAGCTGTTGATTATCTGAGTGAGCTGATGAAGGGCAGAATGAGTGTTTGAAAGCCATTGTTTTCTGATTAGTTGAACTTGGAAAGAGCATCCTAATAATAAGGTGGTATCAGTTATCAAAACTACATAGGTGACCAGTGCTGTTGTATACCAAAAACAAAATTTTGCCAGTTTTATGCTTGCTTCTCCTTTTCCCCCCAAGAGTGCTGTTTAGTATCTTTTAGAGGCATTTAAATCAGTGTAAAGGAGTTGTAGCTGATAAGCCTTTTTTCTGCTTAGCTCTTTTCCTGATATGCATGCACAGTCTTTGTGAAGAAATCAGCTTCCAGAAGAAAATTAAACTGATCTTACTCTTGGTCCCTAAATTATTACAGTGAAGGCTTTGAAGAAAAGGATGTTGTGTACATCGTTTATATTGTGAACACCCTTGTTTACCACTGCTGATATCCTGGAGTGATAGTCTTAAATAATTTTAACTGTGTGGAGCTCAGATACAAACTGTGAACTCCATGTGAACTTCTTTTCATTGTCAAGAAGTTCTCCATACGCGCAATCTGTCAGGTGTGTTTAGAATGTTCCCTGACAGTGAAGAAGGCGGGCCAGCCTTTGCTTGGGTCACGTGTATGGTGGAAAATCTCAGGCCAAGTATGGTTACATTTTTTTATTTATTTGCTTCATTTATACCTGGCTTTTCTACTCAATGGGGACCCAAAGCAGCTTTCATTATTCTCCTCTTTTACATTTTATTCTGACAACAGCCTTGTGAGGTAGGTTAAGCTGAGGTGTGTAGCTGGCTTAAAGTTGCCCAGATTTGAACCTGGTTCTTCTGGATCCTGGGGTGACATTCCAAGCACTTTACTACACTGCTGTCATGTGGTTGGTTTCCCTTAACCATTGTTTATGGTTGACATTTGTGAATGGAATATTTGAGGGGGGGTATGCCTGGAAGTCATGGTTGACTTCTGGTGACCCCTAGTGGGGCTTGGATATTTCAGGGAGGTTGCTTGCTATTGCCTGTCTCTGCGTCCCAGCCCTGGTATTCCTTGGAGGTCTCCCTTCCAAGTACTTGCCAGGGTCAGCCCTGCTTAGCTTCCAAAATCTGATGAGATTGGGTTTGTCTGGACTATTCAGGTCATGGCATGAATGTAATATTAAGGGCCAAGCTAGATGAAATGCTGGGAGATATGTAAGCGGATCTGCAGGCTCCCTGTGTGATTTGGATTAAAGTCATGGAGTATGGGAATGGAGTTAGCCCTTTTCCCACCTGTGGCGCTTTGCCTGCATCAAACAGATCTGAAATCCCATGTGGAAGAATGGTGAATAAAACCCCATTCTCCAGATTAGAGTTCACCTCTCTTAGCCACTACATCACACTGTGAGAAGAAGGACTGGAAAGTTAAATTTCACCCCCCCCTCCACATTTCAACCTAGGGTTACCAACCTCAAGGTGGGGCAGGACCTGGAATTATCCCAAATGTGCAGCAGATCTCCAGCTCTCCTGGAGGAAACGGCATCCTTGGAAGGCAAACACTATGGCATCACATCCCTGCTGAACCCGTTCTGACCTCCCTCTCCAGCCACAAACTCCACTCTCTCCAGGCACCTTCCTCAAATCTTCAGGAATTTCCTGAGTTGGCGTTGGCAACCCTACTTCTTCCCCAGTCTGAACATTGGGGGGAGGTGAACTGTTATTTTTTTTTCTTTTTTAAAATGTTTATTAAGAGGAAGTATAATATATCAAGAAATATAATAACTGCTAAACAGTATACAACTGTCCTGAAACTGTTATTGACCAGTTTAAAAAACAAAACACTCAGATCTCATCTCACATTGTTTTGTTTAGTTTGCAATGTAACCTTAACTAGCAAGCATATATGAGACCAGCATATACGAACTCTGGCAATTTGCATTTTTGCTTCTGCTGTTCTGATATAAAGTGGTGGTACAGTGAGTGTAAGTGGTACAGTGAGTATAAGTAGTGCAAGCTCCTTCACAGTTATGGTATTGTAAGGTGCCGTGCTAGCATGCTGTCAGAGCTTGTGATGTTCTGATGAAGCAGCCGCTATACCTGACTTTTACTGGTGGAGCATGCAACCCATTATATCAAGTATTAAAATTGAAACATTTTTGATTTAGAAAAAACGTAAAAATTAATGTTTTTATCCATTTAGGTATTTCATCTCATTCAGCTGTTGAACAAGTAATGTTAATGCCACTTAGCTGCGGTCTTTTGTGTCTTAATGAGTGGCTTTCAGATAGTAAGAAAGAGATACTTTAAGGAATGGAGTTGGCTCACAGCTTACTACTTAATGAAGACATCTACAGCCAGTTGGGTGAAGTTCAGAAGGCAGAGTTTATTTTTGAGTGGCTGAGGTACTTGGAAAAACTTCTACCAGCTACAAGTCGGGTTAGTATTGCATACAACTGGAATAAAATGTTAACATTCCAAGAAAACTTTTTCTGCCCTAAATGGGTTGAATTCCTAGGCAATTATATTGTAGGTGGGGAAAAGTTTTTTGAAAGTTTTTACTCAGATGATCATCCAGTAGAATGGGCAGGTAGTTTAAAATGAAAAATAGGTTGATGGGCTCCAGTAAAAACATTCAACATGGCTATACACTCCCTTCTCCCACCTTGCTACGGCTGCCTAGAATGGACCACATCAAATGTATGGGGGGGACTGGGATGGAACAGTCTAACTGATGATGCACATGAAAATTTTTTAAAACTTGAAAGCATTATTCAAATGTGAAATGTTGTTACCAAGTTCGTGAGCTTTGCTTTATGTAAACTTGTTCTCTACAAGTCCAAATCTACCCATTAACCACAATTTGAGTAATGTTTTGCAGAAACAAAAACACTTTTCAATACTAATTAAATGTTATTTGCTTAGTAGGGAAAATTAAATATTGGGCTTTCTTCAGATTTGTTGTATAACTTCAAGAGCAAAGCAAATTGGCTAATTTAAAATGAACGTTATCATTTCCCCCATCAGCTAAAAAAGAAGACAGCAGTCATAAATATAAGAAGAAAGCAACCTTTGTAGCTAGTGTCTTAATATACAATGTTTTTTTTGTATAGAAGATTTTTTTCAAGATATTTTGATTTTTTTTAAAGGTCCATATATTTTAAGTACTGTGTGGCACTGACAGTGCTTTCTAACATAAAACATATTATGCTGATGAATCAAATACTTATTTATTTTATTTATTAGTCTTATGAATCGCCCATTCTGTGAACAGGCTCTGGGCAATTTATGGTCATTGCTTGAAAAGCATATTGGGGGATAATGCACATGTCCCATCATGTGTAAAGGAAAATAAATACTTAATTCTAACTCGTTCTTTCCTCTTATTCTTAGGCTGATATAAGGGAAAAACAGAACAAACTGATTGAACAACTGACATCTTTATTAACCAGCTCACCAGGACCTCCTGCTAGACAGCTCATTGCCAAGAACCTTACTATAATTTATAGCTCTGGCGACACCTTTTCTGTTCATCAGACAATTGACAAATGTAATGAGCTTATTCGCAGTAAAGATGATTCACCAAGCTATCTACCCACAAAACTGTAAGTAAAGCATACTCTGGGCATAGCTGAGTGAAGCCATATTAGAATCTTGCAGCATCTTAGATGAACGCTAACAAACAGATTATTAGATGAGCTTTCATAGACAAGAGCAGGACTAGCTCCAGGTTTTTGAGGGTTTCGGGCAAGAAAACTGCAGTGGGTCCCCAGCCCTCCCCATACAGTCTGCCTCCCAGCACTTAGATTGGTTTTCTTCTCCCTTTCATTCCTTTTTTCACTTGGCTCCCTGTATAGAGATGGGTGTATGTTAGATAGTGGGCTGGAGCAATCCAAGAGGGCAGCAAAACAGGAGGCAGTGGGGATGCTCAGATTGTAAGGTGTAGCTGAAGGTGCTTGCTTCTGTGTTATGGCAACGGGAGCATGATCTCGTGTTACTATTTTGAAATAACTTGGTGGGGAGCTGCATCCCTTTTTCCATATTGTCCTGTTTTGTGAGTTTCACAAGAGAGGAGTAGGAAGCAAATGTGGCTTTGGAATCACATTTAAGGATAGGGACTACCAAGCTGAGTAGGATGGCCTGCAGCTCAGCTGGCTAACTGGGGGTGGGGGTGTTGAGTTGAGTCTGGGTTCACTGCATCTAATTCTCTTTTCCCACAGTAGCTGTGAGGAATGGCATTTTAAAGGTCCACGGGAACTGATTTGGCTCATACCCAAAGCATAGAGGGAGAGTAGGCTCCTGCCTTTCCCCCCACGCATGCTTCAAGTCAAAATGGCCCAGGACAGGAAGTTATTTGTCCCATTTTGGAGCTTGCACATTCATGGAACCAAATTGGTTAATATTTACCAGTGTGCCTTCCATCCCACCCTTGGCTTGTATTCTCTGGGCTAAACTGCATGTTACATTTTGTAACAAATTGGTGTATGTAGTAAAATCATCAAGTTTAAGAAACATAAATGTTCTTAATATATTGCTACATTTTTGTTCCTTTCCAATGTTTTCTTTAAATAGTGCAGCAGTGGTTTGTCTGGGCTATTTGTACAAAAAACTCGGAAGAATTTTGGGCAACAGTTTTGTGGATACCATAGGGAATGTGCTCAAAGCAATGAAGAATGCAGAGGTAAGGAGCCATGAATTGAAAAGCAGAAGTTAAAAAAATGCTCAGATGGGTGATTTTTCATTTGGGAAAAAAAGTATTGGTAAAATATGATTGTTACTGAAAATCTCTTTTTAAAGGAAAAATGATATGGTTGTGCTATGAGAATATGAGACTTGATAATACAAATTGGTGCATGCTTTTGGAACAGTATGTTACCGTAGCATTATTTTAAAACATCTGCTAGGTTTTTCTTCTTCCAAGTTTGATAAACAAGTTCATCTTTATAATAATAATAATAATAATTACTGGTTTCTAAGTGCAGACTTCAGCCAGAAATCTTTTCTTTCATACTCTTTGTGAGATTTGCTGTGCATTCAGAGAGACCCACCACAGTACAGTGGCTAAGGTGCTGAGATTTGATATGGGAAAGCTCAGGTTCAATCCCCACTCTGCCATGAAGGCATTGGGCCAATCAATCTAACTTATTTGGCATTTATACTTGTAGATAAGTGAGATAAAAATGTAACCAATGAATAAATGAAATAATCACTAGTTGTAAAAGTCTTTCTGTTGTCTTGTGTTTAGTCTCAAGGACGGTATGAGATCATGCTAAGTTTGCAAAATATATTGAAAGGTCTGGGAGTTGCTGCAGTTCCATGTCATAGAGATATTTACAAAGCTGCCCGCTCATGCTTAACAGATAGATCGATGGCAGTTCGCTGTGCTGCTGCAAAGGTAAAGTACCCTATTAATTGTTTCCGGTAATTAATCTTCTTATGTAGAATTGCGTATGTTAAGTGGGTGATAAAATACAGTCATTTTTTTCCCTTTCCTTGTGGAACAGAAAATTTTGTCATCAGAAATAAACATAATTGGATTGGCAAATAGCAAATCTGTCATCCCATTAAGATGTTTTTCCAGCAAGAAATAAATGTCTGACACTTCAGTCAGTTTTGTGTACAACCTGCTTTGCGGTGGTTACAAGAAGTGCATGTCATCTGGATGTATGATTTGCACTCTTTGTCTGCTGTTGTCCCCATTCAGACCTACTGATGACAGTGAGGCACACACAATTTACATGATTTCCAGCGCCATGCTAAGCAGAGTTACACCTTTCTGAGCCCACTAAAGTAAATAGGCTTAGAAGGTTGTAACTCTGCTTAGAATTATATTGTTCATGAGTATTTGTGGTCTTTATGAATTCATATATTGGAAAGTGGTGTTGCAACTCCGGACTGGCAGGTGTTGCCTTCCTTCTGTCAGCTAGCTGCCATTTCTCTGGGACGCGTCCCGTCCCTATTCCTGCCCGTCCTCCTGTCCCTCCCCTTGTTGTTCTCTTCTGGTATGCTTCTGTAACTGCCAAGTTTCTCCTGCAGGTGGATGACGGAGTGTTATGTCTTGTTGCCTGGGCTTAATTAGATTTCCCGTGTGAACTCAACTTCTGTTTATGAAATTGGCTGTTGTGGTTCTCAGGCTGCTTCGCGCCTTTTCTAATCAGCTCCCTTACGAGGGAAATGTACCCATTGGGTTGACCAAGTTTGAAGTTCCTATATTACTTTGCCCCTGTGTATTGTCGTCATTCTGAACAATCTCTGTATGTTCATGACTAACCATGCTTTGGAAATAAATCTTACTTCTTTGGAACGTGGGTTTGTTCTCCTGACTTGGGATCTGACAAATATATTGCCGCACAGACAATATAAAGAAAAGAAAATGCAGAAGGGATGTCCCATTAAGGTTTCTGGGCCCAAATAAACTACTCTGGGACTGGAACAACAGCCACCAGAGTGAAATGACAGTCCCTGGGAGTAGCAGAAGCATTCCGGGATTGGAATGAGGGCCCCCAGAGTGTCGGCCACTGCCTTGTCATCGGACTTCATGGAAGCCCGGGGTGCCGTTGGGGGAGCGATCCCGAGGCAAGAGACTATTCCCTGGCCTCCTCCTACCCCATCGCATTGGGGAAAACGAGAGGTCAGAGCCTCAGAGGATTGGACTATGTTTGAT